TATAATATAATTTATAATATAAAAGGTAAATGCAGTGTTTTTAGTTAAATGAGCGATATGAGATGTCGATTTTAAGATAAAGTAGACAAAATACTTGTTTTTAACTCTTTATTATAGGGTGGTTTGTTCTTTACAGTTTTACTAAAACTAGTTTCTTTTAAATTGCACTATTTAAACTTAAATGTTAGTCACTGTGTAATAATGTGGATATACAGGGCCTTTTATCTAATTTCTTCCCTGCCATAGTTTGTGTGTGTTTTTGCCAGTCTCAGGTGCATGGGTACAGCACACCAGTCATTTAAACTGAATAGCTGGTTTCAATGTACAGTCCAAACATGGCAGCGCGCCCTGCCTGTCTTCTTCCAGCCCAACCCAGCTACAGCTGTGTGTGAGTGTAGGCTGTGCTGATGCCAGCGAGTATTTGCACATGTTTGAGCAGACAGGACCGAACACGCTACATTGGAGATGGGAGATGCATATTTTGTTGTTTTCCTGCTACTGCATTATGATCAGGGTTTCTTGTGATCATCTCTAGACATTTTGAGGCAGGTACCAGTATTGATTTTTTTAGATTTTAGAGTTTAAAAAAAACAACAAAAAAACATACATTATTTGTTATTATTTCTAGAGAGCAACAAGGACACAGTCTCTGAATGACCTCAGACATATCTTTGGCATTTCTGTACTGCAACTGGCTCCTTATGGGCCACCATACATTGGCTAAATAGGTAAAATAGCCTAACAACCAACCAATTTACACATGAGGATTTACAACACTGTAATTGGAGCAGTACCTTGGTGGTGTTTGTGGTGGATGTGGAGGTGCTGAGTCCGTCCAGCAGGCCCAGGCAGCCCTCCGTGTCCGTGTAGGCGATATGCCTGCCTGACGGGTGCCAGGCCAAACTGCACACTGTGAAGCCCTTTTCATGCTTCTGTCTGCAGCAGGGACGAGACAACTTAAGCTGTAGTGATTCTGAATGTCAATGTTACCGTTTCTCTAAAAGATGGCACCAGCCTTCAGGTTACACCTTCATTTCTGCCCCTCTAGCACTGAAGCTCCAGGTAAGTATTATATCCAACTTTATTCAACAAGTGTCCTCACCAGTGAACAACCCAGACGTCCCTTTAGCCAGTTAGTAACAGGATGCTTTTTTAGGACACATTCTCATAATAATTTAATCAGTAATGCAGCAGTTATCAACTTCACAGTTCACAATTTGCCCATTTATTATATTTTGAAACAGTAGAACTCAAAATCATAAAGCCTTCATCCTTCATGTTTAATCCAGACGTGATGACACACAAACAGCACTATATGAGTTTGAATTTGTAGTACTTGTTGCGTACCTTTCCACACACAGCTTGCTGTTCACGTCCCACACGTTCAGTGAACCCCCCACACTGCCAGCTGCCAGGAACTGCCCACACGGAGACCAGGCCACCACGTTGATGGGCTGCAGAGGAAACAGGGAGGAACAAGAATGTCAGAACAAAGAGAAAGCACTATCAGATCCTCTCAGTGCTTTCAGACCGTATCGAGATCAGATATTCGGTCACACTTCCGCAGACGAAAAGGCTGCAGAGCAAATCTACGCATCTTATGTTTGAACGTCAGATAAAAAAGGACAATGAGGGAATAGAGAGCAGGAGCAAACACAGGAGGTAACAAGAAGTAAATGAATTATATGGAAAGTGTTACTTCACACTGAGCAGGCATTAACACACAGCTCTGGCACAATGAGTTTAATACAGCAGCTACAGAAGGTTGTGGTTCAGTGAGTTAATGATGCTTCAGCTCATTATGTCCTAACACCTCATCGCTTCCAGTAAACACACGGTGAGAACACTCCAGGGAGCTGCAGTTAAATATTTTTTATTATGTTGTGAGGGTTGAAGGTGGACGTGTCTCACACTGTGACTCTTAACTGTCTTCTAAGATGATTTGATCACAAACATGACTGTGTATGTTCACCAGGACCTCACCTGTGTCAGCAGATCATCGGACAGAGTGCTCGCGTGATCCCAGGACCCTCGCTCATACAGGTGCACCTTTGTCTCAACAGGAACTGCTAAAAACTGAGCACACAGACAGTTTCTTGTTATTTTAGCATTCTTGTTCTGTCTCTCTTGCATTGATTAGATCATAATCCCATATGTGGAGATGGTTGACACCAGGCGAGAGTTGTGTCACTGACCTTCGCCGTCCCGGGCTGCCAGGCGAGCCGACACAGAGACTTTGCATTACTGAAGTCGTTGGTCTTCTGCAGCAGAGGCCAGCTGATCACCTGAGTCTGAACGGACACACAGTAAATCAGCGTCTGATGCACAGATGGACTGAAAATAAAAAGGATGCGTTCATAAAATCTTTCAATGTGAGTTGCTGACACACGGACGTACCTGCTCCTCAATATTCCACACCACGACGGAGCCATCGCAGCTGGCAGACGCCTGACGGGGAAAGCAGACAAAGTCAAAACAGTGTGACATCCAGGTTGATAAAGTCAGCTTCGGTCAAATGTTATCCACCCAAACAGGACACCTTTCAACAGAGCTGGGCAATAATGAATCATTTATACGTGTCTGGGTGGAATTATGTTGAGGTGATCCCATATCAGAAGCCTGATAACAGTGCTGCCTTTGAAACATTTGGGGCTAAAAGACTGTAAATGTCTCAGTCTGATGGTATATTTTCAGTCAAAAAGCTGAGACATACCCCTGACATAAATCAGTGTAAATCAATCGTACTGGTCTGTAAAACGTCAACATCTTGTCACTGATGATGATGGTTAGGGCTAGGTGACGTATATAATGCACAAAGGTAGAAATGTGTCCACTGGTAGAAATTTGGCCATACCATTTCCACAGTGGGAGCTACTACAAAAGAGACATGATTGACAAGAAAACATAAAGGAGGAGAGCAAAACTGTAGAGCGGGAGGCATCCTAACCAACCCAAGATGTGGGAGAAGAATGTATGGAAGTGGCAAATAAAAGAAAATAACCTAAGGTGAAAGTAAATCATTTATTTCATAATTTTATTTACAGAACAATTACTGTATTACAATATATAGAATTCTAGTTCACACATCTAAGTATCTTCCTAAATGTTGACAAAATAACCAGAAATGTTCTTTATAGTTTCAGTCTATCTGAATAAAATACTCTAATAGTTTGTACGGTACTATGGTAACTGAGATTGAGTCAGACAACTGTTGATTAACTCTCAGTCATTTCAAAAGCTGTGTGTTGGTTTGTGTTATACTGGGTTATAGTCCAAGTGTTGGTTTTGTTGTGCCGTATTTTATGAATAGAACCGTGTGCGTGACACGTGGTATTATCTCAAAAATCATAATCATCAGCACCCAAATATTTTCAGCCAGAGGAAAAAAAAGGTTTACCCACCAGGAAGTCATCTTTAGGGTCAAAGGTGACACTGAGGACAGGTGCTTCGTGGCCCCGGAGCGTTTTCTGCTGGCTGCTGTCCGACACCTCCACCACCTTAACCATGAAGTCGCTGGGGAAAACAGAGAAAGTGAGAATAATGTGTGTACATGTGAGTGACTGCGAGCGAGCAGCGACAGAAACGAGGGAAAGGGCACATCAGCTGTGGACCGGCACGAGTGCAAATTGACAAATCAATGAACAGGAGAAGCAAAATAATCCTGATTTCCTCCACGTCGGCCAGAATGCAGATGCCAAATCCCCCCTAACAGCCTCTGATGTCTGAATTTTTACAATCAATATCGGAACAGATATTACAAGGATGAAAACAGCAGCATCAATAAGCCGACATGCTTTGTGCTTCTTTTGCTGTGATAAACCCGTTTAGGGCGAATCCATTCTGGCAGCAAACAGACATTTATGTCCAATCAAGACTAATCATAAACCAATCCAAAGTGCTGCTGTGTCTGGAAATATCATTCAGGTACACTGCTGTGTGCAGCTCGTTCTGTACTGGAACAACAATACTGAACCTAATGAGATCACAGTGTGGTTGTCATAGTTTACACGACGCTGAACACAACAGACAGGTTACGCACGACGGCCTCAAGCAGCCGCCACAGGTAGAGCCGGAGCGGAGTGAACGTGCGTGGTTTGACAAATTAAAAGGGACATTCGCTCGTCTTTCAGCTCTGGTTCCTCTCAGAGATCCCGTCACCGGTGCAAAACGTCTGAGGACGAACCGGTGAAGCTGCCCAGTCAGCTGAATCTGTTCAGAAAAAGTCATTTGTTTCCAGGATTACGGGGTTTTAGAACTAAGAAGTACTTGTAGATGTTTATTAAAATATTTTGAAGCAGTTTGTGCAAATTTTATTGACTAAAAGTCTGCCAGCGATGACGTTAACCTGCAACATGACACAATTGTTTTGATACATTGGGCAGCAATACAGAAATTAGGGGTAAATCAGGTGTCTAGAGACTCACCGGGTACACATTTTCAGCTGAGGACATCTATTGATATTTAAAGGAATAGTTTGACGTTTTAGGAAGGTTATTTATTTGCTTTCTAGCTGGGAGTTAGACGACTCTCATGTCTGAACCCTTAATATGAAACCACAGTCAGCCAGCAGCTGGTTAGCTGAACTTGGATTGGAAACAGCTAGGATGACTCTGTGCAAGGGGAAAAAGGCACAGTGACAATAATATATAAAACCAACCATTTGTGATTTTACACATGTGCTGTACCCATTTTTTCCCCTGAGGTCTTGGTAGACTCATCACAACCGACCAGGATATAGTTAACACAAATTTCGGAGATATTATCTGTTAATTAGAGACCTTTAGAGGTGATAATAGAAGAATTTCCAGTTATGTTTATTCAAAAGTGATCAAAATTTAGTACTTGAGTAGTAAGTCTCAAGTCCTAAGTGCTAATCTTTGAGTTTTGAATCCTAAACAAGTCACAATGCACTCTTTAATAAAATAACGAACATAACTAAATTATCTTTGGGATTCCCCCCCCCCCCAAACTGTCGAGTTGCAAGTGTTTCTTTTTCCAAGTTGAGTCTAAAGTCATCACGTTTGTGACTCGAGTCCACACATCTGCAGTGTACGGTCTCCAGTACCTGGATCCTGCAGCCACTCTCGAGCCGCTGCTGTTGAAGGTGACGTGTGTGGCGTGGGTAGTGAACCGAGTCAGGATGCCATCTGGATCGCCGTCAGGAAACGTGTGGATCTGCACCGTGTTGTTGGAGCTTGCCGTCACCAACTTGCCTTTCTGTGGAAAGAAGAACACGTCTCAGTCCACCACTGACAGCTGCACTGTTGATTCATTATAAAAAGGCCTCAGTAGACATCAATCCCCGGCGTATCGCAGAGCCCACAAACAATCTAAACCTGCCAGAAGACGACAGGTGACCAACCTTGAGTGCGAGGGAATAAGCCTTTTCCCCGACCGTGATGAACTTTGGATCATCGTCATCCAGACTCTCCCATATCCGAACATCTCCATCGTTTCCACATGTTACAATGAACCTGAGGAGAAATGCATCGTGGTCAACTGTTGTGTATAAGAAGACCCACAGGAACTCATGTCACGTCATATTGGGATTATTTGGACAGATATATGTCACAGTTGGTGGGAATGATCACTTTTAAATTTAAATCACGATGATTTGTTGACATCTGCGCCAAACAAACAAGTTCTTTTACATCTGGAGAAGAAGACGTGTAGGTCAGGACTCTGCAGTACTTCATTTAATGCTGTTTTCTCACATTTTATCTTTATCAAAACAACTGCAGCGTCTGTGATTTGGATATTACACATTTCGATTAACTGTGCAGCCCTACCAGATACTGTACGCACATAAATGGTTATAATGAATGAGCATGACAAAGAAAAAGAGTTTTCCTGTTGTCAAATCACATTTATTAAATTAATTAATCAATTAATGAATGAATAAGATAAGATAGGCAGGGTTGGGAGGGTTACTTTAAATATATAATCTAGTATAAATGTAGTCATTAACCTAATTTAAGTATCACAATATTAAAAAAATGTAACTTTGTTATTTTTTATTTCTCTAAAAAAGTATTAATCTGACATTTTAGAAGAAAATAGAAAGATTTTTAATATATAATAAATAATCATATGTTTTACTAAATGTAACTGTAATGTGATTACATCTTAGATTAGATAATACAGACTTTATTGATCCCACACTGGGCAAATTCACTACCTACAGCAGCTCCAAAAAACAACACAACACAATAGCTAAGAAAAATATGAAATAAAAATATACTGAATTAAATAAACATATAACAGAAATAGAAAAATAGAAAATAGATTAGATGTCCCTTTATTGATCCCCAATACGGGGAATGTAGAGCAAAAGCAGAGAAAGATTAAAGCATAAAATATATATATATATATAT